TAGGATAGCTCTTCAACTTCTGTTCAAGTTGGTTCAGACCAAGAAACTGATCCTGGTTCTAGTACGGTGCCACCGGAAGTTCAGGATGTCATTACAAAGTTGAAGCAGGGGTTTCCCAAATTTAAAACAACCGCTGCTTATAGCACGGAGCATCTAAGCCCACTCATTGCTTTGGAATTTCGGTCGACGACAGAATCATTTGATAATGTAGCAGATGGAAGCGAAGACCGAATAGATGGAAGTGGTACAACAGAGGGTGAAGTGCATTCATCAGTTACGTCTAGCACTATCTCTTCTAGCAGTCAAAATTCGGTAGACTCGAAAGAACCGCATATGAATATCAAAGAGACAGCTCAGCCTTCAGACCTTATAGAGGTTCATACAAAATTTGCCTCAGCGACTGCGGCATCAACCGAGGGAGAGGGAGGTAACGATGAGAAGAACGGTTTGCGTGCATCAGAAGAAACTTCGAGTGCTGCTGCAAGTTCAGTCAATTTTTTGAAAGAGGAATCAGTTACTGAAAGCGTTGAGCCTTTGGAAAATTTGTCTACAACTTTGCCTAACCGATCATCTGAGAGTGCGATGCGGGTATGACCTTCTTACTTCCTTTCTTGTAGTTGAGAACATTGTGCGGAAGCGTTTTCCTTGCAGAACTGTCAAGATATCTTTTTGAGTGGCGAACGGAGGAGCGGTGTTTACAGTGTCGTCTTGCCTTTGATTGGTGACAGCGATGTTGTTTGTGATATGGGAAAGAATAGTGGATGGAATGTGATTCAAAGGTGGTTTGATTGTTCAACTTCTGCTAAGTGTCATTTGAACTTTTGTTTGAAATGATGTCTTGAATATTTGTTAAGCTTCTAATTTTGTTTCATTAGTAGTCCTTTATTCGTAAACGTTTTCTTGCAGGCGTTTTGACGCTTCAGTAGCTTTTGAAAATCGGACCTGGGACGAGTACGAGTCTGGTTTTGGCGATCTAAATGGCTCTTTTTGGCTAGGGCTCAAAAAGGTAATGGGACTTCGCTTTTCTTTTTTTTAGGTCAAGTTATGTAAAAATAAATGGGCGTTTTAGATACATTCTTTGGTCTTGGAAGCTGAAGGAAAGCCGCTTACTTTAAGAATTGAAATTCGGGGTGACCGGTGCAACGACAGCAGATGTTCGCAGTTGCCGAACGGCTTCTGGTTTGGAGAATGGGACTTCAAGGTTCGTTTTTAGATTTTACTCCTGAGATTTGTTGTTCTGATCACATTTTTCAGTAATTTCTAGGTTGTCGGCGGTTTTGACTTGAAAATCATGTCTTTTTAAACGAGCCATTGACATTTTTTTTAAATGAAAATGTTCTTC